CCCCAATACCAAATTTGTCACATATGTCGTTCTTATTCCCAACCTTACGTATTTTATCACTTATGTAGTTTTTATTATTAAACGCCGCCATCTACAGGCATAAACCACAAGTGCAATTAAGTTATGCTTTTTAGAAATATTTTTGCTAAAGCACTTGGTCGCTATTGTGTCTAAATTTCAGCTTAACAACTCAAAAAGTACCTGTGATATCGCCCGGGCAAGCAAACAAAATAGAGCAACTAAGTATTTTACAGTTGAGGAAGTGAAAGGTGGCTGGTGCAGTGTCGACCACGTTGTGTACTCAAAAGATAGTGTTCGGTGTGATGTATTCGCTGTCAGCCAGGGTTCAGGTCAGCAATGAAAGGTTAGTCAGTCACACGAGAATCCCAAGAAATTGTCCATTGGGATCACTCATGCCATGGATCCTCATGAGCCAGGAACTTGTTCATGACGCTCATGGTTTTGATAGATGACGCGAAGATAAATTCATTACTGCCTTATTGTTCCTGTATACACATAACCCGGTCTTATATAACTCACAAGAACGTAATTTTTGTATCTCCATAAATACTGATCTTGGAAGTATGACCCAGTTTCCTTCTTTATTTGAGGTAATGAAGTTACCCTTCACAAAAATGATGGTCCTGTGGCAGACTTATGGTGGACTATGGCCTCCCTGCCTCCAGCTAATCAACCAGCACCTCAGCTCATCACTAAACCCTCTTGAGTAAAGCCACAAACTAACTCGGTCACATACGTTGTTTACGTCGTAACTCCTATTACCAAGTGCAAGATTCCTCAAGCCTCGGTACCTTCTCGCTATCAGTGGCATTACCTTTAACTTGTGTATATTTTTAACAGGTTTAAAATCAACCCAAACAAGGTCAGCCGTGAATTTAGTTTATCGAGCTATGGCGACCACTAGGATAAATGACGTGGGAATTGAACAGCGAAGAGGCGGGGAACGATCTATCCCCGCCGCGGTCACCTCCCGCGCGCCAGCCACGTTTAATCCAATTGACCCAAATAAAAAAAATCGATGTATGTGAAATTCAGTGATCATTAACTTATGTATATTAACTACTTTGGGTAATAACAATGATGATTGTTACGGGTCGCGAATGGGATATGCTGACAAAGTCGCCCCTTGTTGTGAGCATGTATGAATATGCGGCGAATATCCTGACTTAGGTCCAACGATTCTCAACCGTAACAAAGTTAACTGCTCACAGAAGTTCAAAACACTTACACAACGATCATAGGACTCGAACAGATAGCCCTCTCCTCAGGTGCCAGTAAAGGGGGAATAAAATTATGTACATTTACTTGATACAAAATACAAAGAAATATAAACACGGTGCACATAGAGTAATAAGAACCTAACTCCTAACACCAAATAATCACCTAAATCCTAACCAAACCTACGAACAAATGTAACCTAAACAACATACGGGAATGGGAACACTGTAGGAAAGTGGGAACGTAGAATTCTACTTAAGGTCTGATGATCCCCGTGATAGCAGAGGAGCTCCAGCCGACCTGATCCTCGTGATAGCAGAGGAGCTCCAGCCGACCTGATCCTCGTGATAGCAGAGGAGCTCCAGCCGACCTGATCCTCGTGATAGCAGAGGAGCTCCAGCCGACCTGATCCCCGTGATAGCAGAGGAGCTCCAGCCGACCTGATCCTCGTGATAGGTAGGGAGAACCACAAGATTCAGACTCATGACTCCGAAACATTTATGGACAGGATAATGTATCAGTCTGTAGCTATACCTGTTGTGTCTGTAACTGAACTTATATCTGTACTTTTTCTGTATTTACCTGTACCTGGGGAATGACCTGGATAATTAAGACTTATCTCTACCTGGGGAAATATTGTCTTAAAAACTAAACAATTCTCAATTCGTATGGATAAACAGACGCGATATTGTTCAACACTTTTATTATCACTAGACTACGACACAGAAACAATGATTAGAACAAACTTGTGAAAATACTTTATATATCTCTTTAGTATATAGACATTGTCAACAACTTTTCTAAAATAACGATTCATAGTTTCTGAAAGTAATATTTTTATTAATATATATATTGAGTATAATTATATAAACGATATAATTCTTAATATACACAGACATATAAACATTTATGTGTTGTGTGTATTTTATTATAGGTTATTATGAGACGGAAGAAGAGTCAGGATACTAAGCAGGAAACACAGTGTTACAGGGGCAGGAAAAACAGTGTTACAGGGGCAGGAAAAACAGTGTTACAGAGACAGTAAAAAGAGTTACAGGGGCAGGAAACAGTGTTACAGGGGCAGGAAAAATGTTACAGGGACAGGAAACAGTGTTACAGGGACAGGAAAAACAGTGTTACAGGGGCAGGAAACACAGTGTTACAGGGGAAGGAAAAATAGTATTTCGCGTTCCTCTGTCTGGAGAGTATGTTACCACAGTCAGCCCAGCAGGTGAGCCGAGGAAGGGTACTTCTTGGCAGGTCACCACAGGGTCTTGAGTCACGCTGGTCTCACTGCGCCCAGGACAGACGTGTACGGCTCCTCAAAGGTCTGGTGGGGTACTGAGGAAACGTTTAGCTTCTGAGTAATGACCAACACCAGTACGGGAGGGGAGTGGTTACAGCGTTCACCTTTGCCTTCAGTTGGGGAAAGTTGTGGAGATCGAGTGCAATGTCAACTACAACATTAATTTGAGTAACTAAATAATGCCTAGAAGTACAGTGAGTTGTGTTAGTACTGCCTCTATACGGGGGAGACATCTCTACAAGCAGACAAGAGAACATTAGGGATTATAGGATATATGTATGTAGATAGTGTCCGCTGTGTTACCATACCAGAGAGAATCATCAATATTTCGTGAACATTGGACGGACAAGTCAGCAGCGACGTGGGTGTAGGGGGTGGATGGGTGTGTGTATGTGAGAGGCAGTGTTGATAACGGAGCTGTGTTATTAGTACACACACACACACACACACACAAGGATAGGTTTACATACTCAAGAGAAAGTCAAATTCATTATGGCTCAATATTTCCCCCTTGTGTTGATCTATCCAGTGTTTATATATCCAATACTCCACCTTCAAGCTACCCCCACTTCCTGGCTACCCCCTCCTCTCTACCCCCCCCCCATCCCCTAGCGATCAACGCGTATAACATCACAATACAAACGGGAAATATGATAACAAATATATTATCTACAGACTGTTAGGTTAGGTTCGGTTAGGTAAGCGTTAAAGTGTTTCATTATAAGGTGACATAGGCTTGGGTGTCTGTGCAGGATTACTTTGTGAAAATAAAAGATTATGCTTGAGGATATAATACACTTAGGTATGATAATTAAGGGACTCAACAGGTGGAAGCCTTTAGCATCGGTGGTGAGAAGGTGGTGGGGAGGAGGTTGTGGTGGTGGTGAGGAGGTTGTGGTGGTGGTGAGGAGGTGTAGGTGATGATGTGATGATGGAAGTGATAATGTGATGGTGGAAGTGATGGTGAGAAGGTGGTGGTGAGGTGGTGTAGGTGATGGTGGAAGTGATGATGAGAAGGTGGTGGTGAGGTAGTGGTGGAGACGAGGGGGTGGTGGTGTGAACATTAGAATTCCACCTCACACTCTGGTCATGTTTCAGCAACACACTATACACACATCTCTCTCTCTCTATAATAATCTTCCCCTTCAACACTCCATATAATTTAGGTCGCCATAATATTTATGTCACTATAAAAAAACATTGTTTTTCACTCCGCATCAATGCTACAAGTATATGACAAACTCCTAACAGTCAAAGATATATTTGACATGAATCTGTTTACAGGGTCTGATAATGTTATAATGTATGTGCTTAGAGAACATGATGACAATATGTGATGGTGTTTCTACTATGTGCATATAATAATGTATGTTTCTATCTACAGTGCTTATCACACTACAGTTATTATTATAAAAGTTACTATACGTGAACACACTCCAAAAAGTCTCTTTACGGAGATGATCGATGGATTTCACAATGAACACCGACTCCTGTTGTCTCGGTAGGGTTGTCAAAATCCTCCGTCTGTTGTGTCATATTGTCTCACAGAAAATCGTAAAGATACTTTTCGGAGCGTATACAACGAGCAATAAAGTTAATGTTTTGTGAGATGTCCTGTAGATGGCGTTCATACAGTGTCTTCCCCCCCGTCTTCACGTTGTCAAGAATAACAGAGTGAGAATGTTATGAGTGTCAGTTGTCGCTCTTCAAGGTCGTATAGTACGTCTGTAATCGGTGGTTAGCTTTGACTGTGTTTTTAAGCATCCCGTACAGCCATTCCTATAGTAATCTACTTATGAGACACCCTGTATTTTCATGACGTACGAACTATCATACGAGACACCCTTTAACACGTCAAGACAACACATTGGCTTCCCTCTACCACAACAATAAGATACAATTCGCCAAAAATTACCTTATGAATATTACCAACAAAGTCACTATTGTTATTATGCAAACGAGAGACTCAACCACTCGCCAGACGAAAGATTTCATTACCTTCCTCATGACCAAGAAACATGACAACTTTAATGAGAAACAAAATAAAAGAAATAATGAGGAAATGGGACAGTAATATTTTAATCTGTGCAAGTGACATTGACCCCTTAAAGACAGGCGTTTACTGTAGAGCTCTTGAAGGTAAAACAATAACACGGTATGAATAGCAATGTGTGTGTGTGTGTGTGTGTGTGTGTGTTTGTCGAGATACAACGAAATTTTCAGCACAGCGTTAATAACAATATATTTAATACATTCCTGGAACCGATTAAGTCTCACAATACCACGACCAAAAACATGTTCCAGGAATTCATTAATATTGTAAGGCAAATACGTTTATATGTTTTATATGATCATTGATATACCAGAGATTCTTATGATACGATTTATATTATTGGAACGAACTTGTGAGGTAATTTATGTATCGAATAATGTATACTATTTCTATTGTGTGTTGAAAAACTACAAGGTGTTTGTAAAGTATTCTCTTAACTCAAGGAAACAATTTGGGACTACTAACAACACTGAGTCAGACTAATTGTTGATACGGTGAGGAGTTCCGCTAGGGGTCATCTTGAGTCCCTTGGTATTTACGTGAAAGATTTCCTCATCGGTGTTGGAAGTAAAGTTTGTTCGATTCTTAATGTTAGGTAAATGTTCAAAGAGTTTTGTAGGCAGTGTTGGCAGACTGAATATTATCCCTCGCATCTTAGGGAGACTGAAGCAATATTATTTAAGTCAAAAGGAAAGATGTAATAAATTAATACCTGTAATGTGATGTACGATAATGAGTCTCTCAGGTGTAACATTAGGAAGATATTTGGGACCTAATTTAACCTCTTTGTAAATTAGGAGAAACACTTGTGGTTGATATGATGATCATGATATTGTCATAACATTAAGATTACTTATATAACCTGAAGATTTGGCTACTACAGCTTATTTTACCTTGGGATTAATTACCTTGATGATACTAGGAAGATAAGGTCAGGTTAGGTTAGTGTTAGGGTGGTTAGGTTAGGTTAGGTTAGGTCAGTGTTAGGGTGGTTAGGTTAGGTCAGGTTAGGTTAGTGTTAGGGTGGTTAATCTCAAGACGAATAAGCTAAGGGTGGTTACATCAGGTAAGGTTGGCGTTAGGGTTGTTAATTATCAGGTAAAATAAGCTGGGGTGTCAGTCTTCACCTGATCCATACTCTGAATCCAGGCGAATTTACCTCAACATGTGTAAGATTTTGAGGTTCTGAATCATCAAAGCATTATGGTCAGTGTCTTAGTTTAAGTGCAGTGTAGCCAGATAGATTTATGTCAGGTTTAAAGGTACAGTAATTTGTATTAGTCACCCCAACCCTCACATCACCTACCTACCCACCCATTCTCTTCCCTAATAAGGATATCAAAGGCTTTCATGACTTGGGCTGTACTCAAGGGAAATCTATATACATATTTTACTAGTACAGCATTTACTCGTTGAATCTAAAGTTAATTTTGTATGACGATCTTTATTGAATAACCACAAATCAATCAAGTTTTTATTGTAATTCATCAAGAGTGTTGTTCTTTGGTGTGTGTGTGTGTGTGTGTGTGTGTACACAAGGGTGATTCACTCGCTGGTAGCCCTAAAGTAGTATTTACTTATTATACAGAATTATTATGATTTGTCACGTAGAAAAATAAAAAAAATTAGGAGAATCTTTATACGTAATTTGAGGAAAGAAAGAGACGGTGACCCCGCTACTCGTTTTCCTCAAAAGCTTCATTAATATTTTCCTTCCCGTTGCTCAAGACTGGAGTTCCGTTTTCCTTGAGTTTCCCTTCCAGAGTATCGTTTTCTTTGGTTTCTTTTTCATTCTTGTACTTAAACCCGTTTTCTATGATACCATTGTGGCCTTTCTCGGGGTCTTGTTGCTCTTTCTCAGCTTCCTCTTTCTTAGCTTCCTCTGCCTTCATCTCATCAGCTCTCTCCTGCTGCAGTTGGCGGAAGAACACATGGTTGATGATGAAGTAGGTGAGGCAGGTGACGGCGCACACCAAAGCCATCAGCCTGAAGGTGTTGCGGACGCCCAAGGGACCCATCAGGAACCCACCTATGAGGCTGCCCAACCCTCGACCTGCCGGAGCGACACTTTATCAATAAACAATACATCACATAAGGTAAGGATGCCTACCCTAACCTAGCTTAGCCAAACCTCACTTACCTTATCTAACCTAACCCCTCAGGTAGCATTAGGATGTTTTAATCACCAGGTGAGATAAGCTCTTCAAGATAACATTACCCATGATCTAAATAATCTCACTAATATTGGGGAAAAAATCATAATGGAAGACTGGTTAAGAAATCACTGTTACACAAGATATAGACAGACGCCAGAGGTGGAGAGAGTGTGCCCTTGAATAAACTGGTTGGGTGACATGCTTGGCTAACACTGCTAAGAAACTTGACCTTCGCCAAAGGTAACAACAGCATCGTCACATAAGTTCCGGGAGGGGGGATTCACGTGTGGTTTTGCAAGTGTGTTTTATCAGTCTCTTTTTTTTTTAGTTTAATGTTAGTGTTGTTGTTTATGGTTATTATTATAAATAGTAGAAGTGGCAGTAATAGTGGTGGTGGTTGTAGTATTTAAAGTAGTAGTAATAGTAGTAGCTGTAGTAATAGTACACGACCTCTGGTGGGATGGGACCAAGTGCAAGATGCTTCTACGCAAGACTCGCGGAGGTAATATCCGAACAGAAGCAGCAGCTCAAAAGTTATGTTACAGCCTGGATGAGATGTCAACTGTCCTTCTCTCTCCTAAGGTCGGCTTTGCTCTGTCTCAGGGGAACGCGAGCAGCGGCCCCAAAGCCGACAACAGTTGCAGATATTGACTATGAGGCAACAGTCACTGAATGCTGCATAGATCTGCGGCTCAACTAACTCAACACAGCTTGGATAGCTACTTATGTATTAGGATATTCTATATTAAGGTAATAAAATGGTGGCGAAGGTATGGCTATTGTGGGAGGCTGGAGGCCATAAGAAAAAAAATAGTAGTAGTAGTAGTAGTAGTAGTAGTAGTAGTAGTAGTAGTAGTAGTAGTAGTAGTAGCAGCCTCTTGTAAAGTATGAAAGAGGCAGTAGAGGGCAGCACATACCGACGCCGTAGTGAATGCCACCATAGACGCCCTGTAGCGTAGCGATGGTGGCAGGGGTGGAGAGCTCGGCGGCGTAAGAGACGGCCGCGGTGCCCATCAGTGACACGGTAAAGCACTCCAGCGCCTCGAAGGGCATACACCACCAGGGGTTAGTGAGGAAGGAGTAACCTAGGGGAGATGAGGCACTGCATTAACCACTCATGATGTGTTTAGTCTATAAAGTTGTACATGGTTAAATAAATATCTGACCTTTTTTGTGTGAAGCAATATGACACTATGGACCAATAATTATGACAACCATGCTGAGATAGAGAGTCGTATTGATCATTTCGAAATAAATCAGACCCACCCGTGAAGGTATTATTTATCTTTTACCAATTATACATTATTATTGTCTTTATACATGAGAGAATATAACACAACGTTTACAATTAGTGTTCAATGGTGTTGTCGATTTACATTCTGATTACTGAAGTGTATACCTGCATTGTCTCTCTCTCTCTCTCTCTCTCTCTCTCTCTCTCTCTCTCTCTCTCTCGCTCTCTCTCGCTCTCTCTCTCTCCCGGTATTTGTGAAAGACTCTAATACCTAAAACTTGAATAAATGTTGTTATCTTGAGTCACACGAGGGCGCTGCAAGATGGGCTGACAAATTAGTATAATGGCGCAATAGTTACTCATTCATCATCCTTGCAACAGTATCATGTAAACCAAAGCACGTGTGCCATGGCCCTAACTCACCCATCATCCTTATAACATAAAAAGCAAATCCTATGATGATTGTATTGGCGTGGCCAAGCTTCTCCAGGAAGAAGCCGGAAGCGATGAGGGTGGGTATACCCGCCATGCTGCCCACAGTCACGGTGATGCCCATGAGGAACTTCTTGGCGCCCAGGTCCTGCAGCAGCCAGAAGAGGAAGGTGTCCAAGAGCCCGAAGCAAGTCCCTGGTGGAGAAAGTAAGAGGTTGAGTGATGTAATGTTTTGATAACGATGTAATGTATTCCTGTTCACCTGTAGATTAATTAACCTAATGCTTACCTGTCATAAACTTAACCTAACCTTAACTAACCTAACCTAACTCAGGAGGGCGACTTACACAATAACACTCTCGTCTCTGTGTTATCCCCGGGCTGATAACGACGAGTCTAGTGACATAAGGTAGACGAACAAACTTGTATAATAACGTAGATTGATCATTAGTACTGTTAGTTTGTTAGGATTATTTTGTATCTTGTATGTATTTTATTTCTACGACTATTTACGTCTGTATTTTCACCTCTACTTATTCATATATATCCACCTGTACCACCATCCATACCTGTAAACACCTGTACCTATATACGTATATCTACACCTGTACCTGTCCCCATACCTGTACCTGTACCAACACCTGTACCTGTCCCATCACCTGTACCAACACCTGTACCTGTCCCATCACCTGTACCAACACCTGTACCTGTCCCATCACCTGTACCAACACCTGTACCTGTCCCATCACCTGTACCTGTCCCACACCTGTACCTGTCCCATCACCTGTCAACACCTGTACCTGTCCCAACAACCTGTACCTGTCCCATCACCTGTACCTCAACACCTGTACCTGTCCCAACACCTGTACCTGTCCCATCACCTGTACCTGCATCAACACCTGTACCTGTCCCAACACCTGTACCTGTCACCTGTACCTATCTCATCACCCGTGGCCGGACAGATGGCCGACGGACATATGACCGAACGGACAAATGGCCGATCACCTGTACCTGTCCCTCATCACCTGTACCTGTCCCATCACCTGCACCAACACCTGTACCTGTCCCATCACCTGTACCTGTCCCATCACCTGCACCAACACCTGTACCTAATACCTATACATTAAATCCACCTGTAGCTCTCCCATCACTCTTACACATAACATTTTTAAGACTTCACCAAACTAATATATCATTAAGGTAGAACAGCGACACCTACCTGAGATAAGCATCACGAGGAGGAAGGTAAGGATCTCGGGCTTCTTCAGGAGAATACGGAAGTCCTTCATTACTCTGCTGGAGGGCTGACGGAAGTCCAAGTCGACGAAGAGAATGATGACGGCTGCGAACATCTTGAACCCACAGTACAGGTAGAAGGCTGGGCTGTAGTGCGAGCGGGAGGCAGGGAGGCAGGGACTTAGTTTATTTATTTTTTAGCAGTTGTGGTTATTAAGTGTTACATAGCCTGTGTAGGTGAAAGAGGTAGAAAATGTTAACACACACACCCTCCCTTCAACCCGTCCTCCCCACCAGAGTTCTCTCCAGAAGTTATAATTCCGTTTCATAAATGATTGGAACCAGTGTTGAACAGTCATCAAAGCCAGTGTAAACACTTAAACAGTAACAGCTGAGAGTTGTAGCTAAGTTAACCTTCACACAGTGAGGTACCGAGTACCCAGAGGTAATTGCCCTTAAAACACACACACAACACACAGAAGACACTCAGAACACACACAGAAGGCACTCAGAACACACACAGAAGGCACTCAGAACACACATAGAAGAACACACAGAGGACACACTGAAGAACACACAGAGGACACATAGAAGAACACATACAGGACACTCAGAGCACACATAGAATACCCACTTGTAGTTCTGGGTGCCGGACATGTCAGAGAACACGTCGATGAGGACACCAGAGACGGGAGTGACCACGATGGCCCCGAGGTTGGCGTAGAGGCGCTGGAGGCCGTACTCCCCCGAATACTGCTTCAGGATGGCAATGGCCGCCCCGTCGAACAGTGTGAAGCTTGTGGCTGACGAGAGACAAACATGAGGTGAGAGTTAGTTGACATTAGGGTGTTTAATCTTCAGGTGAAATAAGTTGGGGCTAATCTTCAGGTGGAACAAGCTAGGGATCCTAATCTTCAGGTAATCATTAATTAAGGTGTACAGTATCTTACCTAGAGTGAGGCCATTGAGGAGACGAACCAACATGTAACTCCAGAAGGTCACCATAGGATCGATAACCTCCGTCGAGATGGTGTTGGAGCAGAGGTCTTCCCGCCGTAGTGTGGAGGAACAGGAGAGGTCACAGTCACTCATCCTGGCGGCGCTGGGTACTGTTGAGCTGTCCTCTGTAGCGTCATCATCACTCTGTCAATACAACCTTGGTGGGTACTGTTGCCTCTTCTTGTTGGATTATTTTTTTTTATTATTATTGCCATTAGTGGTAGTGGTAGTAGTAGTAATAATATTTTTTAATTATTATTATTATAGTGTTGATTGTGTGTGTGTGTTGTTTTACCTTCTATAAAACGTGTCGTTGACTTAGGATGTGCTACACCCACACGCAGATACACGCACTGTACTTAAGATAGTTACAGAGAAGAGGACCTACCTGCAGAGGGAGGTTTGGGCATTGCCAGTCAGGTAGCTGGAGGAGGGTGGTGGTGTTGGTGGTGAGGGCAAAAGCGGTCACCTCTTGTGGCGTCATGTTCAAGACCTCTCCTCCACCAGGCTGTGACGCTCTGTTGGTCACCAGTTCAACATGTTCACTTTAGGATAAAAGTCTGGTATATGAAGATTAGCCCCCCTTAAGCTTATTTAGTTCCCCTTAAGCTTAAAGAGTCCCTCTTAAGCTTGACTAGTCCCCCTTAAGCTTGATTAGACCCCCTTTAAACTTAATCAATCCCCCTCAAACTTGATTAGTTCCCCTTAAGCTTATTTCACCTTAATATTTCTAATTAAAGACTTTTGTAAGCGACTGTACAACCATTTCCCCAACTCTTCCTCACAGATAAAAGATATTACAACATTATATTTTTCGTCAGTATGTACAGTCGCCTACAGGAGTGTTGTTAAACCCCCCTACCGTGCCTCCCTCGTTCACCCCCGCTAACAATACACCTGCAGGAGACTTAACAATCAGCCACCACGCCCCACCAGCCCCCACGCCCTACCAGCCCCCCACAACCACCCCACCCCCCACAACCAACCCCCACGCCCCCAGAACACTTCCTCACACACAAAAGATGAGACAACTTCCTCGCTATGTCAACCAAACTTGTTTATATACGAGTCACGTCTTTGCACTTTCCTTTTTTGTATTGTTCTCTATATGAACACAATATATAGCCAAGGTTAAATTATGCATTGTTTTTATCTTGTCCATTTCAAAATCCATTAAAGCAGTTTGTCTTTTATACTGAAGTTACCTGAGACGGGGAGGGTTAAGTTAGGTTAAGTTTTATTAGGTTTAGATTAAATTAAGTTAGACTAGATTAGATTAGATCAGGTAAAGTTAAGTTAACTAATCTTCACGTGATCCCTATAATATAACTTACCTGCGGGAGTGACAGAGTGAACAATTAGTGAGGGTAAAGGTGACGTTGTCGAGCTGGGGCAGATAATCACAGTAGTAAGGGGACTGAAGCTCTATGGCTGGGGTGGTGGCGCCGCAGGATACACTCAGAGGCAGGGTGTCGGGCATCTCGTGGTGTATACGGGCGGCGGGTACTGCAGAGAACACCAACGCTGCACACCCGCTGGCTGCCATAGTGATGCTTAAGAATACCTGCCGAAGTATACAGGTGTGTTGGTTCAGCTTCCAGTGGCATGTATGGGGAAAGGCGAAAGAAAAAAGTGTGGAAAATTATATACAGTAACTTATTGCCGGTATACTATATTAACAGCTAAAATCTCTACAATACGTTATACTGTAGACTGAAAAAAGTTTGATAAAATTATATATATTTTTATATTAAACAAGTTTTTAAAGTAGTAAAAATACTACTAACTCGAGAGCTGATGAATACAAGCAGGTGATGATGTGTTAATTATATCAAAAGTAAGTTGGGTTACTGGGGCATCTGGGTGTGAAGGTAAATCATCAAACCTTAAAGTTGCCAATCTTGTCAGCCATTATGCCGGTGATGGGAGGGCCGATGATAGCGATGACGGGGTTGAAGGCGTACACAACACCCAGCTCCGTCTCCGTGATGCCCAGGGACCTCGCCTGCAGCGTCAGGAAGGGGAACATGGCCATGGACGCTGAGAGGAGAGAACGAGATACATTAAGTAAAATTTCGCTGCAGTGTGTAAAAAAACGTGTTGAAGTGTGTCGAAGTGTGTGTTTAGAGTGTGTTAAGGTGGGCCAACCAGTCAAGACCACTGCGGGCCTATACTTATTGTACAGAGGCCCCATACTTATTGTACAGGGGCCCCATACTTATTGTACAGGGGCCCTTATGGTTGTGAATATATTATATAATGAAATACTCGGTGTACACTTGAAACAAGGTTATATGCTGGCATGCTGCGCGACAAATTAGTTTCAGTGGGCCCCCAGTTACCGGTGGGCCCTAGGCCAATGGCCTACTTGGTCTATTGGTAAATCCGGCCCTGTATACTGCACATGCAAAGCTATTGTAAACTTATATGAGGATTTTACTGTATATATATATTAATATTACATTATTATTATTATTATTATTATTATTATTATTATTATTATTATTATTATTATTATTATTATTATTAAATGCATTATGTGTTCATTTAAAGTTAAGTTCTATTTATTTAAAAGGAAATCGTCTTAGAACCAACCGACACAACGAATAGTCCCGCCAGTCAGGTGAAATATGAGAGTTACCCTTTACAGCATGATAAATTTTCTTTGATAGTCTCTCTTCCCACCCCCTCCCTCCTGCTCATCACTGGACGCTTATATAAGTATTCACACTGTTCTTAATTCCCTTATTCTTTATTTATTGATGGTATAGTTTAATTACTAACGTTATTACAAACTTAAAGACCATAGTTATTGAAGTGTAGTTACAGATGCGTAGTAATATCTTAATATCAACAAGTTCTTTTACGTTCGAGTTTATTGTAATGATTAGAAGCAAGAAAAAAATGATAGGTGAAGCCTCGCCATTGTTATTATTAATGTCATCTGTCAACTACCTGTGTTTGGATGTTTTCTTGCTTACATACATACATAGCTTGACAACGACACTCACACACACAGACTGACACTAACCCCCGCCCCACACACACACACACACAGCCTGAAAAAGCAACATACACAACGACCCACGTACATGTAACCTCGTACTCACAACCACGAACAATTACACACTTAAAATCTCTTACACACAAACACACAATTAGAATATACTGTATATCGTGAAATATTTCTCCAGGCAGTCTCCCCGTCTCGTCTGCATATTGTATCTATAAAAAAAAAGCTGTTTGGTTACTCGTTATATAAGCACGTAAAACCATGAGATGTTCTTTGTGCGCTAACGCTATAGGTAGGTGTGTGTGTGTCGGGGGAGGAGCGTTAGTTCACCTGATTAGTAATTTAGTGTGGTTAGGTTAGGTTAGCGTTAGGTTAGGTTAGTTATATATGTGTGTGTGTGTGTGTGTGTACGACTATCATCAACAGACATCAAACACTTTAACCGCTGGTCTAACATATACTCTGTTGGTACACCGCAGCTGCAGGAAGACCTGACCCCCACACACCCCACCAGGAAGGTCATGTGAAGGAGGAAGGGAGGGTAGAGAGGGAGGGAGTGAAGGGAGAAGGGAGGGTAGAGAGGGAGGGAACCTGCTGTTGTCAGAGCCCCATTAACTTGTCACAGGTAATTGTAGGCGCGAGGCATCTACTTAAAAGCCTGGTGTCACTTGAAGACCAGTCACCAGTTTGATCTCTCTCTCTCTCTCTCTCTCTCTCTCTCTCTCTCCCTCTCTCTCTCTCTACACATACACATTTGTTCACTTTCCTTTCTCATTTATTCTACTCGTTTACTCACCCACCCACTCCTCCCGGTCACTCCACTCACTCCTCCCTGTCACTCACTCCTCCCAGTCACTCACTCACTCCTTCCAGTCACACACAGCAACAGGAAAACAATTACATAATAAGAATAAAAAAAATCGTCATTCAGAAAATATAAAGTTTTCCACAAATTTCCGGGTTTTTGTAAGAAATTCTTGTCATGGGGATTATTTTAATGGATTTTTATATACCGGGATTTAATGTGATTTTTATATCATGGTTAATGTGATTTTTGAAACGGATTTTACATGATATCTCCTACCCTGAATTTTAGGTACTTGATGGTTCGATTAGGTTAGGTTAGGTTAAATTAGTTTAGGTCCTGGTGTTGATGGTAAGGTTTGGTCAGGTTAGGTTACGTTACGTTACGTTATGCTACGTTAGGTTAGGCCAGGTCTTGGTGTTGATGGTTAGATTAGGTCAGGTCAGGTCAGGTGAAGTCAGTTCCTGGTGGTGATGGCGAGAAACACCAGACAAACACGGCTGGGACCAGGATCTTGCCAAAGTGACGTCACATTTCCAGGGAAGACAGCGAGAGTTTGTTTACCTGTGGCCTGGGGGGACACGGCGCTAAAAAATTCCTCAAGACCGAATGAAAAAACTGTACAATAGTGTTCATGGCGTGTTCGGTTAGGTTAGGTTAGGCTAAGTTTAGGTTAGGTTAAGTTATGTTAAGGTTGGGTTACTAAAGGTTTAATCATCAGGCGAAATAAACTAGGGTGTCTAATCTTCAGGTGATCGTGTTTAGGTCCTGTGTGGTAACGTAATAGACATGTTTCAATATTTTTTTAAGAATTTTTTTATCAGCTTAATGTATGTTTTGGTTTAGGGGCATGCTGTTTGCCATGACTTGTGGTTTAGAATGACAAGAGAGTATGTTTGTTGTGCCCCTGTGCGTGCGTGTGTGATGACCTGTGGTATAATGGTCAGCATTCTCGCCTCGCAAGTGAGTGGATCTGGATTCGATCCCCGGGCAGGGTGAAACTCTGGACAAGTTTCTTTACGCCATTTGACTCTGTCTACCCAGCAGTAATTGGGAACCTGGATGTTAATCGATTTGCGGATCGTGTTCCAGGGTAATGGTTAGCCAGTGCAGTTGGCAAGTTGTCCGGTCTTCTCGAACTATTCCTTGACACTGGGTCATGCAGCTCGTTAACTCAGAGTGTAGTTGTTGTGTTGGCGACAGCTTCTACACCTTAAATAAATTCACACCTAGGTGGCCCTTGGGCCGGCCATCCTCGTTACACGAGGGACAACCATTATTATATGTGTGTGTGTAATAATAATAATAATAATAATAATAATAATAATTAACGGTTTATTGAAAAAGTTCTGCAGCCCGAAGGCTGAAAATATACAAAAGACAAAAGCGATTTATTACATACAAAGTCGTTTAACAAAAGCTTCCATTACTAAAAGGAAAAGGAATATGAATTGAACATACAAATTATTATAGTTTGTTGTTGTGTGTGTGTGTGACCCAACAGACAGTCATGGTGGAAAAGTGGTATCAGTCACCCCTTGGTACGAGGCTTTTAGTCATGGTGACGCTTCAGTCTGTCAACGTCAGGCACTTCCTATGTACTGTCAGCGTCAGGCAGTTCCTATAGTTGTCAGCGTCAGGCAGTTCCTATAGTTGTCAGCGTCAGGCAGTTCCTCTAGTTGTCAGCGTCAGGCAGTTCCTATAGTTGTCAGCGTCAGGCAGCTCCTAGCCTATCTTCAGTGTCAGTTAGTTCCTATAACTATTGTCAACGCCAGGCAGTTGTCAGCGTTAGGCAGTTTATAGTTACTGTCAACATCAGGCAGCTCCTTCGTCAGCCCCCTCTCTCTCCTCACTGCCAAGGAAAACTAAGAAAGCAGTAAAAAAAATAAAAGTCGTATTAGGAGATGAGCTGAAGTGGTGCCAAGGAAATCACCTGAAGTTTCGACACCCCAGCTTATGTTACCCTAATACTATCTGGGGTTAGGTTAGGTTAGGGTGTTTAATCATTAGGTAAAATAAAAGGGAGTGCCTGGCCTTCAAGTGATCACCTCGAAGGCTCTGAAAGGTTTGACGTTGGGTGCCTGGAGGTCAGCGGGGGGGGGGGGAGGCCACAAGGAGAACAAACACTTTAACTTCACCATGACCCACACTGTAAAATATCCGTGATAAAGCCCCTCTCTCTCTCTCTCTCTCTCTCTCTCTCTCTCTCTCTCTCTCTCTCTTATACTGGAGGGATTTAACAACACGGGCATTAGACCATTCAGTTATTGTATGGGTGTAATGTTTATCTAATAATAATAATGGTTGTCCCTCGTGTAACGAGGATGGCCGGCCCAAGGGCCACCTAGGTGTGAATCTGTTTAAGGTCTAGAAGCTGTCGCCAACACATCAACTACACCCTGAGTTAACGAGCTGCATGACCCAGTGTCAAGGAATAGTCCGAGAAGACCGGACAACTTGCCAACTGCACTGGCTGACCATTACCCCGGAACACGATCCGCAAATCGATTAACTTCCAGGTTCCCAATTACTGCTGGGTAGACAGAGTCAAATGGCGTAAAGAAACTTGCCCAAAGTTTCACCCTTCCCGAGAATGCTGACTATTACTCCAAAGTACACACACACACACACACACACACACACGCACACTATTTATCGTGTACACATTCAAAAGGTCAATGAAGTTCCTATAGCTTAACTTAACCTCCCCTTGATCACCTTTTCCTTCCTTCCTGTGTGTAGTGAACTTTGTTCACATTTCATTGTATTTAAGTAACTTTTACTATTGTTTTGTGTGTGTGTGTGCGTAATTTGTATAGTTGTGCATGTGTATGGTAAAAGGTGCTGTGTATCTGTGTATATATTGAAAGACCGAGTGTGTGTATATCGAGAAGCTATGTGTACGTGTACAGACTCCTGTACGTGTGTGTGTGTGTGTGTGTGTGTGTGTGTGTACGTGTGCTTATCTGGAGGCCGTGTGTACGTGTACAAACTCACGGGGCTGTGTAGTGAGCCTGAAAGAATTGTATTTTTTTTCTCGTCATGAACTAATTGTCACGAGGGAGGTGTTCCGGCCTTACTTGATGTCGCGCCCACCTGTGTGTGTGTGTGTGTGTGTGCAAGAATTTTATATGGTTACTCTTACATATACATAATAATGGTTGCCCTAGTGTAACGAGGATGGCCTGCCCTAGGGTCACCTAAACGTGAATTTTTTTAAGGTGTAGAAGCTGTCGCCAACACAACAACCACACCCTGAGTTAACGAGCTGCATGACTCAGTGTCAAGTAGTCCGAAAAGACCGGACAACTCTCCAACTGCACTGGCTAACCATTACCCCGGAATACGATCTGCAAATCGATTAACATCTAGGTTCCCAATTACTGCTGGGTAGACAGAGGCAAATGGCGTTAAGAAACTTGGCCATAGTTTCACCCTGGCCGGGGATCAAACTTGCGAGGCGAGTGTGTTGACCATTACACCACAGGTCCCCATATATACGCCATCACATACCTGTACACACACTAATATAATCTAACCTAACAAAATTGAGTACTTGTGAATGCGATACAGAAACCTAACCTATCCTAACCTATCCCAGAATTCGTCCACTACTAGTACACTCAAAATCTAGTATGACCTTCGTGGAAAACCTCAATGTCCGTAGGAAAATAAACTGGGGTACTTAACCTTCAGCTGCTCTAAATCACAGGACAATGAATTCAATGACCTTGATTTTGATGGTCAATGAATTCTTAAAACGACTCTGTGGGGTTCGAGTCTGGCCCGCATAACCGAACCGACGCGAACCGAACCGACCCGGTAATGCTACATTGTCAATACCCCCTAGAAAAATGCCCTAAACCTTGATATGAATCAGTGAGGTAAACCAAGGCTGATATCTAAAACGAATGGAATATTAGTGACAAAGGTGACATTGGTTTGGCTTGGATTTACCAGCGCGAATTGCCTTTGTTTATGGGACAGTAGCTATTGTGAATTTTAAGGATATTGACGCTCAAGTTTGAAATTGTGTACCCTCTCTCTCTCTCTCTCTCTCTCTCTCTCTCTCTCTCTCTCTCTCCAAGTGGTATACATCATCTTACCAACATGGGTAGCCTGGTACATTAAGGACCAGTTTCCGACTAAGTGACGTTGACATATACAGCTGCACACTGCCCTTCACTTGTCACCGCCTCAACTTTCCGAAATTTAGACGACGATGAAATTTCCTAATCATTTGCGGTAACAGAACACATTTAGTTGTATTAAGTGTTGCTATATTTTTTATTTACAACATTTTACATTATATATCTGTATGTTGTATGGAATTTGAGTTAAATACGTTCTGTAATTGTAGTTGAATGTTTTTTTTACGTAGGAGTGTCAGGGTATCAAGATGATGAGTGGTTTTGATAGACGTCAATATGTAATTTGACTCCCCTGCGGTTTAGCCACAGCCCCAGCTTATTTTACCTGATGATTAAACACTCTATCTGTTAACGAGTTTATTTCATCTATAATATAAAGTTGATCTACTCTAGTATTAATCATCGGTAAACTCCCTCTACTTACCTCCATATATAAGGAAGAAAAGAACCTTGATGGCTATAAATTCTTTGGTGGTGAGGTCGGCCCAGAAGCGCTTGAACCAGGCCGGGGACCTCATGGTGGTGTTGCGTGTTGATCAGGCGATGCTCACTTGTTCTGTGGGAAGATTATGGTACAGTCATTGTCAGGAAGATGTCTGTTATTGATGGAGGAATATTATTACACACATAAAACAGAATTAGAGGAGTTACCACCTCGCTCGGGTACAGATCAGAGTACAGATTTCAATATATGTTATTTTACGAGTATTCAAAATATTTACTTTTAACTCATCTAAGGTGACATTTTAACTGTAGATAAGCCAACGGTAGAGACCATCTGCACCGTAACCATTTGCGAGTCACTGCACCAACTTCACTTAATGGTGACCACCTGCCCACCAGCAGTGTCAGAAACTTAACAAAATGAAAAATAAATCTACAAATACCTCGTAAACAGGATATATAATACTGCTAGTCACTAAAATACGAAGGTTAGTTTCCCCCTAAATTAGAGAAAAGAAAACTGTTTAAACTCTTGCTAGGGTACAAAAATGGCGCCTAATATACTAATGCTAAACAAAAACTCCTTCTTAAATAAATGTTTGTTTATGTTCAATTCTGGGAAATAATTAACATACGAATCTTTGGAAGTCTCGTGGAATCCCCGTGTCCACGCCATCAACTCCTCCATGTTTCGTGGGAGTGTGTTGTCCGTCTCAAGTATTACCAGTGGCCTTCATCATAACAACTATCATTAGTGCCATTGTCCTTACAGTCACTTCCGGTGTGTACGAGGATCATTTGTTATCGTATGATTTATACAAGATTCCTACAAGATTCCTACGAGATTCCTACAATAGCATCGGGTGTATTTTGTGTTTTAACTTAAGCGTCCAGGGAATTTTGTCCAAAACTGTACATATCATAAATTTGTCAGTACTAACATAAGAAAATTTAATTCACATAAGAACATTGATCGAATAAAATGAGTTTGTATATAAAGTAAATGTAAAACTTTATATGATTGAAAAAAAAAATATATATCAACTGTAGGTTGAATTTGTTACTTGGTGTGAATGTTGACGTAAGAACCTTGATCTATTAAGTGGCCACAGTACCTCTTGTGATTAAGAAATACATCGAGACTGACTTTCTGTTGATCCTTTGTTGGCTACACTTTCTCTACCCGGTGACCTCTTCTTCCTAACACTGTCTTATCTACACCGGGGGTGGGTCGTTCCTTACGCCGTAGGATCCAGTAAGGGCTCTTTGAACACCGATGGCCAAAGACTGAAGCTAACACGAGGAGCCAAAACGTGTGGACCGATATTAATAAAACTTGACACTTGTTGATTGTTGAGGAAAATTGACCTTATCACCACCAACCTTGTGTTTTAGTGATTATTTTATATTACATAAAGATTAGTCTCCCAGCAGCTTATTTCACCTGATGATTAAACACACCAACACTAACCTAACCTAACCAGCCCTCAGGTAGCGTTTGGGCTTTCAATCATCAGGTGAAATAAGCTGCTGGGAGACTAATCTTCAATTAATCCTTCAAGTCTTGAGTTTGATCTAAAGAATATAGTCTCTCTTCAGTTCCTCCCAGACCATCACGGCAGCCTCAGCCCTCACCCTCGCCTATAAGAAGGTCCTCCCAAGACACAACTCCGAACTCCTCAAGTCCTTAGATAAACCCGTAAGGTTCATTAGGTTTCTTTCGTTAATAAAAGAAGGTTGGTAGAGCTCCACATTACACCGTATGTCACCGTCAACACAGCAACAACGTGTATTTGTAACTTTTTAGTACAGTAGGTTAGGAAATAAAGTGAGGTTTAAGCACCCCCTCGAACCAACCACCCACACTCTCTCTCTCCCTGTGTGTATGGGGGGGTGGGGGGGGGCGGTTTATGCCTCGCCACCCTGAACCACATCAAGCTGGTTCACACTAGTACAATCACCATAATCACCCAATCAAAGAACTTACCACGCTCCTCAACCACTACTAACACACCCCTTCCTCAGTAACGCACTCCATCTCTAACACACTTCATGACTAACACACTCCTCCACCACTAACACACCCCACCAACACTAACAGACAAAACATGGCGATATATTAGGGGAATTTAAAAGCAATTTAGAGAAGTGAGTTCAGGTGTGGTAGCTGACACAGGCACTGGGCTGTCAACCACAGATCCTTCCCTGGATTCAACACGAGTAGCGATGACTGGCTCCTCTGGTGGCGAAATTGTGAAGCTGTTGAAGTTGATAACACACATACAACGTCATGTTCCTGGCAATGTGGAATGTTGCAATGTTATGTTTATGGGACCACGTTGCACTGTAATATTGCAATGTAGTGTTGAACGTTGCACTGAAATATTGCAAACACTAAATACACCTGTACAGTTTAATACTTAACACTATGTAACCGACTCCCGGTACAAGTAGGTCAACACCTAATACAGCTGATGATTAACAGTAACTACCATAGTCAACCCTCGATCCATCACTTAAAGAGACCTTGACACTTTCAACTGGATATAAACATGTTGTGGTCTGGTTCCAACATGGATTTTAAGTCAACCAAGATGTGCTGTTTCCTTTGTGTCTTGAGTCTTATACATTCCAGGGACACACACACACACACACACACACACACACACACACACACACACACACATACATTAAGCCTAACTTTGCAACCTTCACATACAGCATGTCTAATTTTCACTTCTCTAATGAAAACTACCACCCCATCCGTGTGTGTGTGTGTGTGTGTGTGTGTGTGTGTGACGCCTAAATAAACTGTAAATAATAAGTAAAATTTGATATTATTTTCTGTATGATAATTATCTGTAAATAACAAACAATAGCTCACCTGATGATTAACTCCCCAACTTAATTTCACCTGATGATTAAACACCCTAACGCTACCTGGGGGATTAGGTTAGGTTAAGTTAAGCTGAGTACTGATTTTTTTTCTCTAGGTGAGGATAGGGTAGGATGACCGTAAAGTGTTAGTGTAGGATACCGTAGGATATATAAAGGCAGTAGTGTGAAGCAGGATACTATATCTCACGCGGCAAGGAACCATCGCGGGCTTTCTCCTCCGTGAAGGACACCTCAGTCATCAGAGACACCATCAGGAGTAAACAAACCACCTGCTTCCTTCCTCCGCCTCGCTAGACCATAAATCTTCCTGCCCTGTCCTGTCCTTCCCTGCCCTGTCCTGTCCTTCCCTGTCCTGTCCTGACCTGCCCTGCCGTCCTGCCCTGCCCTGCCGTCCTGTCCTTCCCTGTCCTGTCCTTCGTCCATAGTATTATTCCTACTCTTTTCATATCTATGGAAATTCTTCGTTTGTATTTTCTTCGTTAATAAGAACAGATGGATATATCAGGCGAGTTTGGGTGTTAAATCTCTTCACCGGGGCCTCGATCCTCTTTGTCAATAGCAGTTTAAGGCGACACATCGTGGTAAGGATCTTCAAATCTTCAATTATTTTAGTACATTAAAACCTCTATTTAACGAACTATATAGATATGAAAGTACAATATATTGAGGGTCCGTCAGATATAAAACCCCATGTGTTCCTCGTTCCTGATGGATACAAAAAAATGGTGTTTGGAATTTGCTGGGTTGTGTTTGTTCTGGTAATTACGTGTTATCTGACTTACTGGCGGAGTGAGAGAGGGTTTTCCACAGTCAGTGATTAGTCCTTGGTATAATTCTTTTTTCTGTTGCCTTTGGTGGGTGTCTGCTGTGTTAAGTCATTGCCACAGCTTGAGGGGGAGTCACAGGTCTCTCCCTCCCTCTTTGGTTTCGCTAATAGGATATCCAGTGTCCGCTATACGTTAACCGGATATATGCTTAGCGGGGGTCAGTGTTCGGTTAACGTGCACACCGAGTATACATAAAACCCTATACGTTAACAGTATTCGCCTAGTGTACATAATGCGTACTTAACCGGCTGTGCGTTAACCTAACACTTGATTATACTGAACCATGATGCTGCAAGGACCACCCTTATGTTGAGGAGGGAGGAGGGTGGAGGTAGATGGTTGGAGGGTGGAGGGTGGAGGTAGATGGTTGGAGGGTGGAGGGGTGTGTGTCCCTTTTATGGCTGTGTAAGGAAAGCGTATGGCCGTAAGGCGTTGTGTGGAGGTCATCACGCCCTATTGACGCCCACACACCCTACCCCCATCCCTTCCCCCTCCCCTCTATCCCCTACCTTTCCTCCCCATCCCTCACCTCTTGCACACCTCTCCCCCATGCCCCACCTTTGGCGTTTGGTTAAGTTAGGTTAGTTTAAGTATGGTCAGGTTGGCCTTAGGGTATGCTAAAATAGCGTTAGGTTAGATAAAGTTACGTTACGTCAGAGTTAGGGTGTCTAATCTTCAGGTAGTCCATTATTAGTCCTAAACCAAGTGATTTAAGACTAACACAGAGGCAGACACGGTGTATGGGGCGGTAACTCTAGCAAGTAATGACACACTTGTAGGATTGAGTCGCCCTTCTGACCTGTTCACGGATAACACAAGTGAAAGTTATAGTCTATTGTTCCATCAATCATTGTTTGATGTAACTAAGTGTGTGGGAGTTATTCATGGAGCGTAAACACACACACACACACACACCAAACATACACTCACACACACCAACAAACATACACTTACCCTCCACACACACATACACCCCCTCCCACACAGTTCAATATTAATATCATTAGTAGGGAGGTACCGATTGCCATTGTCAACCTAACCACCACCCATACACTGTCCCCCCCCTCTCTCTCTCTCTCTCTCTCTCTCTCTCTCTCTCTCCCTCCCTCTCTCTACCACCTTTATTTCTTCACTCTTCCACCCCACCGATTTTCTTCTGGCTGTCTCCTCCCCTCACCTCTCCCTCACCTCCTCTCCTCCTCCTCCCTCACCCTCCTCTCCCTCACCCCTCCTCCCCTCACCCCTCCTCCCCTCACCCTCCTCCCCTCACCCTCGACTCTCACGCCCACTGTTTACGTCACGTGTTGTGGTTCCGCCCGGTGTGACGTCATCCAGCAAATACTGAAACCGAAAAAAAAGATACATAACCTTGCCATTGTGTTGAGTC